TGTCATCTTTGGACTTTTCCTTTCGGGCTTCCCCTCAAGGCTTTAAAACGCGTCTACTAGGGGAATGTTTCATCACTCTTATAAATGGTGGTCTGTTCTCCTCCCGTACATCACAATGAAAAGTAACATTAACATCATATGCCTTACAAAGAAGCATTAAAAAAAAAAAAAAATACCATTTACACCTCATAAATTATATCCAAATTTTATAATACTGCATTTCGTTAAACTCTGGTAGTAACTATAAAAATAAATTTTTTTTCCCTTTTATTTTATTAATGAATGGGTCCCACAACCACCCTTTTTCCACGTCAGTTATATTCAATAAATAAAATAAAAATTAAAAACTAAGAAAACCGTCCCGTTTCCATTATAAAACCGCCTCGTCATCGAGCTCTGTTCTTCCACGAAACAGAGAGAAACAGAGTAAACGAAAATGGCGACTCTTTCAAATTCATTATTCCTCGTCCTTCTCCTCCTCGCCGCTCTCCCATGGACTCCAACTCTCAACGCAAAGAAACCCCTAATTTCCCGACACGATTCCCAGAAGCAAACCGTCACCAACATCCAATTCTACTTCCACGACACCCCCAGCGGCAACACCCCCTCCGCCATTAAGGTGGCAGAGGCCCCCTCCTCCGCCAACTCACCGACCCTCTTCGGCAACGTCTTCATCGCCGACGACCCATTGACCGAAACGCCGGACCCAAAATCCAAGGAGGTCGGCAGGGCACAGGGGCTGTATGCGTCGGCCTCGCAGCAGGAGCTGGCCCTGCTCATGACACTGACCTATCAATTCACCGCCGGCGAGTTCAACGGCAGCTCCATTGTTATTGTCGGGAAGAATTCGGTGATGCATAAAGTCCGTGAGCTGCCGGTGGTCGGAGGGACGGGCGTTTTCCGGTTCGCTCGCGGGTATGCTCTGGCGAGCACTTATTGGTTCAACACCGTTGGAGATGCGATTGTGGGTTATAATGTAACGGTTATACACTAAAAAAGGTGACCGGGTGGGCCGGTTGTTGCCCAATAATTTTATGTCTCTTTCATTTGCTCTACACATGTAGTTGTATCACTATATACGTTTGGTTCAAATATGAAGAACACTGCACCCTTTTGGGCGATTGGTCCGAGTTTACGATTTAAACCCTAAATTTTTCGAAGCTTAAAACACCATGTTCATGTGAAATATTTATCTTTATTTGATTTATAAATTAGTATACTTTTTAATCGATTAAATTGAGTTCTTTTTGTTAGTTCTAACTAATCTTCTTGGTCAAGTGTGATTGGTGGCCAACTTCACTAGCTTCTACCAACTCGTCAGTGACCTCGTAAATTCTTCAAGATCAATACGAGTTCTTCTAGTATGTTTTGTCTTCGTTTTAGGAGATCTCCCACGCTTAATCATGAAGTTCCTATCGAAAAGAGAGGTGCACCTTGTTGGTATAAGTAGTAAGTTTCATTTATTTTGAGTCTGATTTAGTTATCTTATCTTCTTGATTACTCTCATTTAGATATAGTCTCGATTCATTCATGTACTACTCTTTTACTCCAGTGTCACAACTTTTTAATCTCTACTGTATTAATATTCATGCAGGGAATGAACTCTTCATCCACGTAGTAGAAGTATTGGGAACCGTTTTGATTTTTATTATGAATTAAAATAAAGTAATAAATTCAAGAGTACGAACTCTACCTTTGTAGAAATTCTAGCTTGTAAGACTCTTTGAAGTATTTCAACTATGCAAAAGTTCTTTCACATTCCACAAGATCTTCCTTACTATGACTCGAACATAAGATCAAAGTTTGTGGGAGACTCTTAAAAGAAAATCCCAAAAGGATTGGAGAATGAAAGTTTCGAAAGAATTGTATGTAGAGGTAGTTTCATTATCGAGATGAAATGGGAGATTCGTATGTCTTTGGTTTAACCTCTTATTTTCAGGATAAGAATTTTGTCAAATAATATATTTGCATATCTAATATATTAGGATATAATGTCTTATACAAATCATATTTAAATATTATATGATATCCTAATATATATTTAACTAATTTGAATCTCATTCAAATTTCAAATATATTCTTATTTAATATATCAAAATATATTTATTAATTAATTTAATATTTAATTGTATCAAATACAAAAAAAAATATATATATATATTTTCTTTAATATATATAATATATTAAATATTAATTTGAACTTTCAAATTAATATATTTTTTCTCCATTTATATTTAATATTAAATATTAAATATTAAATTGAACCCTTCAAATTAAATATATTTTCTCTCTTTATTTAATATATTTAATATTAATTTAATTAAATTTATTTTTTTCTTTATATTTAATATATCTAATATATTAAATATCAATTTCAACCTTTTCAATTTTCTTTTAAATAAATAAACTTTAGCATTGATATGAGCTAGCAAAAGGACCTTGTAGACCTACCGATCATAAGCTCTAATGATATAAAATTAATTAATTAAACTTTTTAATTAATCAATTTTCTTTCATTAACTATAGATTAGGTAGACTAGAGTTTCACTCTTGTAAATAAGTTATGTTAATTAATATAATCATTACAAGCAAGTGGATTCTTCACAAATTGTTCTATAGATGGGTCAAAAGTCTGTTATACCCTCTAATTACATCTTTCCCCTTAAATACCACTAATTCTCTACTTAGCAATTTTTTTATGATACAATCATAAACCAGTCCCTTTCGTACCAATGAGAGGGTGGGGCCCTATTGTTCAAGTCCTTAAATCAATACTTAGAACAACTCATCTACTCTTCTTATATGGAAAATGGTGAATTCCATCTCATGATATTATGTTCTCAACTCTCTATTGGGTGAAGTTCCCAAAATGGTAGACATATTGAATTGGATAAAAGAGTCATTCTCGCCCATGTAAATCAAAGGACAAGCCCTTAGGAGTTCATAACTCACTCAGGATTAAGATCGAGTCACATATGATCATCATGTAAAATATTGAGCTTCTCAATTAACGGTTTTATAAAGAGTGATTAAATATGTTTTGGTCCAGTCATGTACAAACTCATTGTATATGATACTCCCACTTACATGTCTCCACATGAACGATTTAAATCAAATCATTTGTAACGATTAAAAAGTGGGCCGTGTCAATAATGTTACCAGAATAAGACACCTACCTCATCCATATACTATAACTCTATAGGTTATTACTTGAACACGATCGTCTTGTATGTCAACCACACACGGTTCAAGATTACGTTAATAACTTTGGACTTTCATACCATGGATAATAATTAGATTACAAATAAAACAATAAAAATTATTGTTATAAACTAAATAATTAATTAAGAGACTTTAGGGCATAAATCCCAACAATTCAATCGGGTGATCTTCATTAGTCAAGCTTTGACTTCCAAACGGAAACCGAATCCATCACACGGATACAAATTCTCAATCTCGATCTCAATTTATATTTATTTAAAGTAATCTTTACCCTTAAAAATAATTCGAAACAAATAGACAACGAAATCATGTCGGAGGAGATAAAAGTGAAATACCAACGCTATCATATGTTGGGTCCAATATTTGAAGGTATATAAAGTGGACAAAATGGGTATAATGAAATGAATACTCATGATGTTGGGTTGGTACTTGGCTTAGAATACACACACATGAAGTGGGATGCTCATGGCATCGGGACAATGCGCAAAAGGGGCGAGTGGCATGCGCATTTCAAAGCGTAAGTGGGACGAAAATGGTTCAAAAATCACCTCTACACATGGACCAAAATTTTTACTAAGACGTTCTTAATCCCGAAGCACCAAGAGATCAGACATCTAAACAATCTGTTCCTCTAACCCAAACTATACTAATGTGACTTCTGAATGGTATTTCAAAATGTTGCGATCAATCAAGCCGGGTAGAGAAGCTAAGATCAATCAGGCCGGATAGCAGAGGTGTTGAAAAAGTGAATACTACAGTGACAAGTACATTACTTATATTTGGTGACCATGTTCTTATTTTATTTGCTTTAGGTCTACAAACTCTTATATTTGCCACATTTGTGAGACAATTAAAATAGGAACTCGAGTCGTTAGGGTTTAGTTTGACACTGTATATTTTGGCTGGAATTACATTATTGGCTAGGGAGAGGTGTTGATACAATAAACAGGCATGTTCCTAATACGTCGAGGAACATAGAGGCGGGTATGCTAGTATAGTCGACATCAACAGTATGGATATAACACCAATACAAGTAGTAATAACTTTTCGAATTTCTTTCCTAATGTTTTGTCACGATCTGCCTCCCGAAAAAACCCTAATTCTAAGACATCGTATAGAATCACCCCAGTAGAATCGAAGGAATTAAAAATACAATTACGAGAGTCAACGAACAAGAAATTTATACATCCAATCGCGTCATCCAGTGAACCACCATCCTATTTATGAAAACGAAAGATCGATCTTTGTGATTATACACAGATTATAGATAATTGAACAAAGTAACAACGAAGAACAAACATCATATCCCACGAATCAATGAATTATTGAATTGTTTTAAAAAAACGATAAATAATTACAACTAATATGCCAACATCCCTTCAAAGAATCACCTTTTACTAAGAAAAGTTTAACCTTTAACTCGTTATTTGTTCTTTTCATCCAATTTTATTGCTTAAAAGCTAACTTTTTTCTTTTTACACGTCACTCATGTTCTAGAAACAACCAAGAACAACAACAGAAAAAACACGTCCCCTTTTATTGGAATATATTTTATACAGCTGTAATTAGTTTTATGTTCGGATCATTAAAATATTTTCTCTTATTTTTAAGATTTAGTTTGTAGTTTGTATTTTATTTAGAACATTAATGAAAATAGGACTTTAGATCCCACGGGTACTTTTGATCCCACCTATGTTTATCGGGATCCCTCTGTATCTCATTCTTAATATGGTATTAGAGCATCGTTCTTAACACTTTTTCATTATAAAAACCTTCTCGTCTTCTTCTCCATTCCACAAAAGAATGGCGAATCTTTCTCTTTCATTCTCCTTCATTCTTCTCCTCGCCGCTCTCCCATGGACTCGAACCCTCCACGCAAAGAAAACCAACGTCCAATTCTACTTCCACGACACCGTCACCGGGAAAACCCCCTCCGCCATTAAGGTGGCGGAGGCCCCAACCTCCGCCAAATCACCGACACTCTTCGGCGTCGTGTTCATTATCGACGACCCATTAACGGAAAAGCCGGACCCGAAATCGAAGGAGGTGGGCAGGGCACAGGGGCTGTATGCGTCGGCCGCGCAGCAGGAGGTGGGTTTGCTCATGACACTAACCTATCAATTCACCGCCGGCGAGTTCAACGGCAGCTCCATTGTTATTGTGGGGAAGAATTCGGTGTTCCATAAAGTCCGTGAGCTGCCGGTGGTCGGAGGGACAGGGGCTTTCCGGTTCGCTCGTGGGTATGCTCTGGCGAGGACTTATTGGTTTAACGCCGCCGGAGATGCGATTGTGGGTTATAATGTGACGGTTTTACACTAAGAAAAGCCACCGGACGGCGGCGGTTGTTGGTGAATGATTCTATGTTGTTGTCTTATTTTATGCATGTTCCGTTCAAATATAAAGAACACGACAAGCTTTTGTCGTACGATGTTTCGCTAAAATTGGGGGTGTCAACCTTTTCCACCATAAGATTAAAAGATCATTAAACAAAGGGTCATATTGCTACTTAAGTCATTGTGTTGCCTTTTGTTTATACGCCATATAATATCACTTCCGAATTCTCTCTGCCCCCGTTTTCTAAAATTCTCTTCTCAAATCGAGATCAGAGGCTTGAGCATACATTGTTTGGCCATACACGCGCGAATACAAATTGGCTTGACTCACTTGCTGTTAAGAAAGTGAGTGTTGCACAATCGCAAAATCCTCTACCAAGAAAAGTGCGATGGTGACAAGTGGTGCTAGAAATCTAAACCGCTAAACCACTACATTCTAAACGAGCAGACCATCAGTCAAGAGGCTCGTTACTGTTATATATTTTTTTCTTTCGTTTTCAGTATACTAATGTGATACTCGAGTAAATGAAGAGTACATGAATAAACCAAAACGACAGCTAAATGAAAGTGATCTAGTGATATGAAGTTATAATTAAAATGGGATAGTTACTACTTTTACCAACAAAGTACACATACCCTTTTGGTTACTCGATCATAGGAACGTTTGGCTATGACTGCATCACTCTCTCGAGCAAAGGTCGTGGGTGGAAACCGTTAGTTCAAAGACATGTTGTTGTGTTAAAGCAAGGAATTTTACGGAGCACACCAAAAAAACTTGCAACCAATAGTTTCTACAAAGGTCGAACTAGCCTCGTTAGTTTCGTTCAGCCCGACCAGAACGACCATCGTTGGACCTAGATTAGTCATTTGGCCACACAATCGGCTCCATTGAGTGAGCTCTAACCCTTATTCTATTTGGGGCAGGTCCATAAGAAACCGTGACTCGACAAGTTAAACGTGGGACCTGGTCCTGCAAAGTAAAGGAACATTTGTCGGCTTATATTTGTATCGGTTCAATCGGATCCAACAATGAGACACGTGGCAATATCTCGACCATCCAAAATTACTTCAAATTTTGTCATTTTCTTTTGGATGGAGTTGACAGTTGTCACGTAAATAGTATAACGTGTTTAAATTTTTGTATATTCCCAACACAAAAGGCCAGCCAACTCAACCACTTTGATTGCTATATTTTATGATGATTGGATGGAATATTTTATAATATTTATTACACTATTTTCAAATAAAATATTAAACCAAAAAATCTTCATTTTAATAATAAGCTAATATTTATTTTTTTTTTTAAGAAAATAAAAATCTTTTGCTTTTTGTGGCCAAAATCTCTCTCCCTTTCTCTATTCTAATTTCATTTTATAATTATTTTTACTAAAAAATAAAAAATTACCTTAAAAATTTGAAAACGAATTTTAGTTAATTTTGGATGAAAATATTTTATTTAAAAAATATTATTAAACTTTTAAAAGTTTAAAAAATACCCTTAATTTTTTTAAAAAAATTATTTACATTGTAACTATATAAAACTAAAATTTGTAATAATTTAGGGTTTATTGTAAAAAAAATTATTATTAATATTAAATGAGATTTTTACCTATTTATGGGCTGTAAAGTATAAATAGTATTTTAGATAATAAAAATCTAACGCTTAATTTTGACAAAATTTTTATTTAAAATAAAAATTTGCAAAAAAAAAACTGATCGACCCAACCCAATATTTAATTTATAAAATTCTCCAACCCGATCTAACTCGAGCTAGGAACACCTCTATAAGTCAGTCTCGAATATAAATTGTATTTATTATTATCCTATAAAAATTAAACCACCCATCCCAAAAAAGTCAAAAAAAAAATCCAATAATTCAACCAACAAGCTTTAGGATAATTTCCACAAAACGACGTCGTTTAAGAGAAAATGTCGCCAAATAAAACATGACAGCTAAACAAGTTGGCCCAACCGAACACAGCCCACGACATTGACTCTCCACCAATAATGCAAACAATAAATAAATAAAAAAGAAAAAAACCGAACAAATTATTATTAAACAATTATCTTTATTAAAAATTAAAAAAAAATTTAAAAATTTAAAAAAAAAAAAAAAAAGAAAACAGCTCCGACCAAAATGGCTGGTCTTAAAAAACATCACAACTACAATCAAGGCTTCATCGATCATTCCGGAGATGGGTGCTCAGTTTTCGAAGCAGGTCGAACGGCGGAAGACTCTCCGAATAGAGAAGAACGTTCTGGCGGAGCTCAAGGTCACCGCCGGCGAGGATTTCCCCGGCTCCGATTACCGGCCACCGGACAGAAAAAACTGGATGGCAAATCTCGGTTCTGAACGGACGCGTATTCACCAAATCATATGGCCAGGAACTCACGATTCCGCCACCAACGATATCGGAATTCCCTTCATCACGCGCCCTTTTGCGCAGTGTCAATCACTCTCCATTTACCAACAGCTCGTGTTAGGCACGCGCTTATTGGATATCCGGATTCAAGAAAATCGCTTAGTCTGCCATGGAATCCTCTCGACGTATAGCGTCGACGTTGTTTTTTCTGACATAAAGAAATTCCTCGCCGAAACGCAATCGGAGATTCTGATTCTCGAGATCCGAACCGAATTTGGACACAACGATCCACCCGATTTCGACAAGTATGTCGTGGAACAACTCGGCGAGTTTTTGATTCATAACGATGATCGGGTGTTTGAGAAGACGATTGCCGATTTGTTGCCGAGGAGGGTGATTTGTATTTGGAAACCGAGGAAATCGCCGCCGCCGAAAGGCGGAGATCCGCTTTGGGGAGGTGGGTATTTGAGGGATAATTGGATCGATACGGATTTGCCGTCGACGAAATTTGATAGCAATATACAGCACTTGTCGGAGCAGCCGCCGGTGACGAAGAGGAAGTACTTTTACAGAGTGGAGAACACGGTGACGCCGAAGGCCGACAACCCGGTTTTGTGTGTGAAACCGGTGACCAAAAGGATCCATCAATTTGCTCGGTTGTTCATTAATCAAAGCTTTGCTAAGGGCGTTGCTGATAAGTTGCAGGTTTTGTCCACTGATTTCATTGATGGGGATTTTGTGGATGCTTGTGTTGGGCTTACGAGTGCGAGAATCGATGGGAGGGCTTGAGAATTCGGGGTCGAAGTTCTTCCCGTTGAGGGTCGTGTTGCTCTCGTGCTGCTGCTCGTGTTATTGGTTTGAGCTATGTTTAGATTGACGTTTGTTTGAAGATTTTCGATCATCTGGGTTTGTGTGTTTTTGTGTCGTAGGGTGGATGAAGAAGTTTATTTTTTTGTATAATGATTTGTAATTAGGTTGGATTAAGTGTACGATAATGATCAAGAAACGTTCTTGTCTGTTTTTTGAGAGCATATATTTTGTTGGATATTACTTTACCTCATACACAGTGATATGAATCTATATATCCTTTTATTACACGGATAACAGTAGAAGTCCTATGGTACGAAAAATTACTTGTTGAAACAGTTGGAATATAGCGGCCCGTTTTACCCCGCTAAATGTAGGAAATAGAAAGGGTAAAAGGTAAAAAGGTTCCGTTTTTTTGTTTTTTTAGTATCCAATAATTACTAAGAAATAAACGTAATTTTAGATATACATTTTATTATTATTAAAAGACAGATAAATTGTGACAGTCTCATTCAATAATTTATTTTGCTATACACAACCAATTATATCTAAAAATTCAATTTTTTTTAATTGAATTGGGTTCCATGTTCTTTTTTTTTGTCTTTTTTTTTTTTAATTATATAATGTTATCAATAATTTAGACCTAAAGAATAAGTTAAAGAAAGAACACGATTAGAACCAAGACAAAATGAGCTGAATAAAGGAGCCTAGGCAAACAAAAAAAGACTCGACCCAATTTCAGTTCGTGGCCTTGAAAGAGAAAACCATCTCGTAGAGGGCATGAATCGTGTCACAATCGCACTTTTGTGACAGTGTGACAGTGATTGTCCAACCCTTGTTCTAGTCCAGCAAACAAGCCAATCATGAGAATTTCATACGTCACGGACAACGTCGACACATGCTCAAATCTCGAATCACGTTTACGAGAAATGTTTTATAAAACGTGAGCGAGAAAATACATTTGAAAACAAATTGAAAGAATTGAAGAAAAACAACGTTATATGACTACAAGTAAAAAGAAACACCACGACTTGTCGACTTAAATATCATATAACTCGGATATGAAGAATTGACAACTAGTCACATCTCTCTACAGTACATTTTGAGACATTCTAGTCCTAACAGGTGTAGACGTGATTTTGGTAAACCGTCATACACCCTCGTATTGACACAACATGAAATGGTAAAAACCTATTTAAGATGAAATCATGTAAAAAGAACAATACGTTATGGACAATCATGATTGGGATATTCGACATGTAGCCATAGACAACACGCTTTAGACAAGCATGACCATGACACATTGCACACGCTCCCGATTCATGGTATTACCCGTATAAATATCAGCTCAAACTCTTTCTCGTACTCGAAAATCTTACTATACGAGGACTTTCTCTTTTGCATATTTTTTAGTTAATTATTTTTTTCAAAAAAAAAATACAAATAATTACTTTTACAAGAAAAGTAATATAAATTAGAGCGAAAATTAGGGGGGCCGTCCGCTCTCGATCCACCATTTTTAATAATTTTTAATAATTATTAATAATTTCCCAAAACAAAAAAGAACTAAAAAATTAAAATTTAAAATAAAAATAAAATAAAAAGAACTCTCCGCCAAAAACCACCCCCTTCCCGCCATGGCCGGCATTGTCAAGGAGATCCTGGCAAGGCCCATCCAACTCGCCGACCAGGTAACCAAAAACGCCGATTTCGCCCAATCCTTCAAACAAGAATGCATCGAACTCAAAACCAAGACCGAAAAACTCGCCGCCCTCCTCCGCCAAGCCGCCCGCGCCAGCAGCGACCTCTACGAGCGTCCCACTCGCCGCATCATCGACGACACCGAGCAAGTTCTCGACAAGGCTCTCATTCTCGTCCTCAAATGCCGTGCCAATGGCATCATGAAACGCATGTTCACCATAATCCCCGCCGCCGCAT